TGTGTCCTGGGGCCCCTTGAGGTGTGGGCGCACCAGTCGACGGACGGGCGCAAGATGGGGAGCGTGGCGCAGCGGGTGCCGATCTTCCTGGGGCGCCTGCTGTCCGTGTACACGGGCAACGCGTCCAACGCCCCCGGGGACCACGCGCGGCGAGCACAGCCACACCCCCTCCTCCTCCTCCTCCTCCTCCTCCTCCTCCTCCTCCTCCTCTTCTCCTGCTCCTGCTGCTCTCTTCCTCCCTGTCGTTGTCCTCCTCCTCCTCCTCCTCCTCCTCTTCCTCCTCCTTCTCCTCCTCCTCCTCCTCCTCCTCCTCCGCAGAAGGCACGCATAACACCACCGTGCCTGGCCAGGGCCGACCTGGGCAGGGCTCGTTTCGAATCCTCCGATCCGATTCGATTCGACTCCGATGGATTCCGATTCCGATTCCGATTCGATTCGATTTCGGATTCCGATTTGGGCTCCGATTTCTTATTGGAGGCATACTAGCCTGCCGATTTCTGCCGATTCGACTTTTCCCGAGCCGGCCGCCGATTTCTGCCGATCCGATTCATTACGATCGCCGATCCGAGTTATCGATTCGATTCTGGGCTCTCCTGCCTGGGCCCAAGAGGGAGCGCATCATAGGAGCGAGAGGTCACGGTGAGGATGCGTTCCCAGGTGTCCCAGATTTCCAAGGTTTCCAGGACTTCCCAGGTTCCCACGTGTCCCACACGGGCTCTAGAAACGAGGGCCGCTAGGTTCTCTGGAAATCCTGAGACGTATCCTGAGCCAACCCTATCATTGCATTATCCTCGTCCAAGCGCAGGAGTGGCGCACGCGCGCGCGCCCAGGGTCGTACGATCGGCAGGCTGGACGAGGGAGGAAGTTTGGAAAGGGGCGGGGCCATCCAGGTGTTGTCTTGGAGCCATCCAGGGAGGAGGCGAAGTTTTGAGGTTCAAGGCTTTCGGTCGTCCTCGTCGGCTGTCGGCGGGCTTCCAGCCTCAAGATGCCGTCCAGCGGCCGCGCCTCGCCGAGAGCGCTCCGCGAGTACCCGAAGCGCCCCGAACGGCTGGCGAGCGACGGAGAGGACACCAGGGTCGATTGCGCGGACAGTCGCGCGCAAGCTTCCCGCTCAAGGTCCCGCGTAGGCACCCGCGTCTCCGCGCGGTGTGCCACGCCGGCGGCCCGCAGAAGCCTCGGCGCAGGGCCGCAACGCCGCAGCGACCCTACATCGCGGCCTCTGCAAGAAGACATCGGCCACGGTCCGCGTGGGAAAGCTACTCCAGATTTCGTAATAAAGGGAGGGGGTTCTCATTTCGGGGGGGGTCTCTTCCAGGCTATCTTGGAGGGCCTGGGGGGTCTGGGGACGATGTTTTGGAGGGTTCTCCCACGGGGGAGGTCTGAAATTGCTTGTCTTGGAGGGTCCAGACCCCCTCCCTTTTATTACGAAATCTGGAGTAGCCAGCGCGCGAGGTGGCGCCGCTGGCCCTCCCATGGCTCGCTACCCCCCGCCTTGGAGATAGCGTGCACCGACGAAGCCCCGGTCGGAGGGTGGCGTGCGCCGCAGGGCCCGCGCGGGGGCTTCCCAGGGTTCGGCGTGGGGGAGCCCCAGAGAGACGCTCGCCGAGTGCCGCCTTCTCACGGGCCATGGGCTTCCCACGCGGTCGGACCGAGGTGTGAGGTCGAGGTCGGCTCGGGGAGGGTGCCCTGGTGCTCTTCGTGCCTGTCGGATGCTCTCGTGCCTCCTCGGGGAGAGCACCCCCGAACGTTCTTCGGTGAGGCCAGCGGAGGGTTTCATACTCTTGGGGGACGTTCTCCCGCCACAGGTCCGACCCTACCTCAGTCACCACTTACCAAACCACCCCAACCCAACCCGAAGGCCTCAATTTGCCCTCCATTTCCAGTGGGGGGGGGGGGGGTGGGGAACGTTGAAAAACACATGGAACCCGTACCCCCCCCAACCCGAAGTTCGGGTCAAATTCGGGTTTTCGGTTGGGTTGGGGTGGTCTGGTAGGTAGTCACTCAGGGGGGGGGGGGGGGGCGGGCGAACTTCGGGGAAACGGGGTCCTCGGCCCTCGGGGGGCGAAGAACTTTGGTGCACCGGGGCCCATGCCCTCGGGGCCCCCGTGTACCCGTCGGCTCCGGGAGTATGAAGCAGGGGGGGGGCCCCCGCCCCCGTCCTCTCTCGGGGGGAGGAGGAGGGGGGGGACAGCGCTCCTGGCGGCGAGAGACTTCTCCTCGTCCTTCTTCTTCTTCGTCTTGTTATTATTATTATTATTATCATTATCATCATTATTATTATTATTATTAGTAGTAGTATTAGTATGAATATTACTATGATTAGTAGTATTATTATTATCAGTTTTATTATGATGACGATGATGATGATGATTATTATTATTAGTATTATTATTAATAATATTACCTATTCTTAACATTATTATTATTAGTATTATGTTTATTATTATTATTGTTTGTAGTAGTAGTGGTAGTCGTAGTAGTAGTAGTAGTAGTAGTAGTAGTAGTAGTAGTAGTAGTAGTAGTAGTAGTAGTAGTAGTAGTAGTAGTAGTAGTAGTAGTAGTAGTAGTAGTAGTAGTAGTAGTAGTAGTAGTAGTAGTAGTAGTAGTAGTAGTAGTAGTAGTAGTAGTAGTAGTAGTAGTAGTAGTAGTATAGTAGTAGTAGTAGTAGTAGTAGTAGTAGTAGTAGTAGTAGTAGTAGTAGTAGTAGTAGTAGTAGTAGTAGTAGTAGTAGTAGTAGTAGTAGTAGTAGTAGTAGTAGTAAGTAGTAAGTAGTAGTAGTAGTAGTAGTAGTAGTAGTAGTAGTAGTAGTAGTAGTAGTAGTAGTAGTAGTAGTAGTAGTAGTAGTAGTAGTAGTAGTAGTAGTAGTAGTAGTAGTAGTAGTAGTAGTAGTAGTAGTAGTAGTAGTAGTAGTAGTAGTAGTAGTAGTAGTAGTAGTAGTGTTATTATTATTATTATTCTTATTCTTCTTCTTCTTCTTCTTCTTCTTCTTCTTCCCCCCTCGGCATCGTGACCCCCAACCAGCGCCCGTGGGCCCCTCCACAGGCGCAGCCACAGAGGCATCGCTCCCCCGCACCGCCAACGCACGTGGCGGACGCAGGGGAGAGGGAGGGGCAGGGAGGGCGGCCGTCCGGGAGGCAACCGGGGCTCGTGTCGTAGACACCTGGAGCTGCGCTTAACTGAAGGGGCCCTGGGACACACAAATAAATACACACAAATACAAATATTCCCCATATTTTCCATATTTTCTGGGTTTTTATCCTCCCCCCCACTTCCCGTATTTGCCCTTAGTTTCCTGGAAGTCGACGATTCATTGTGTCTGTGTGTTTCTTTCCCTCCTGAGTAACAAGGGCCCTATGATCGAACCCCCCGCCCTAAGGATCGACCCCCCCGCCCGAAGGATCGAGGTCGCGCTTACTCCAGATTTCGTAACAAAAGGGAGGGGGTCTGGACCCTCCAAGACAAGCCATTTCAGGCCTCCCCCGTGGGAGAGCCCTCCAAAACATCGTCCCCAGACCCCCCAGGCCCTCCAAGATAGCCTGGAAGAGACCCCCCCCGAAATGAGACCCTCCTCCCTTTATTACGAAATCTGGAGTAGGGGATATGACCAGACACGTGCAAAAACCATTGGAAGGTCGTCTCGGGGGCGTGCCGTTCATCATCTTTGAGGCCGCTTGGGGGCCCTGACGGGTAGCCGTCGAGGCCTCTTGGGCATCTTGGGGACCTTCATGCAGGTCGTCTTGGAAGACACGCTGAGGAAGGAGACTGTGGGGAGATGTCAGGTGTTTGGAGGGCTTGCCAGACGGGAGTGGTGGACATGGGCACTGGTCGCGCGGTCGGAATAATCCTTTTGTCACCAGCCTCGAACCTATCCCTATCCCCAAGATTGACACGCCAAGAGGCGATGACAATCTTACGGATGCGCCCTGAAAAACTAAGGGAATCCCTAGATTGGCATCGTGATGAGGCGATGCCTTGATGCTCGCTGAGGGGCAGCGAACGCGATCTGTGTTTCTGGGGCGACGGGGGAGAGGGCAATGTTTTTGTAGGACAAGAGCAAGCATGAGCAGCCCAATCGTCGGCAAGAGCAAACCTGAAATCAGCGCTTCTCGCGAAGGGCGGCAGTAAGGATTGCTGTTGTCCGATCAAGCGCGCCCGCCGAGCGTACGGGGATCTGGCCCTGGAAACAACGCTGCCCCCCCAGCGACCTTCAAGCGATGCCCAGCTTAGGGATAGGGATATGCTCCAGGCTGGTAATTTTGGGGCACATCAGGCGGGTTAGGCATGAAAACACGTAATCGGTTCCGGCCTCGGCCAGGAGAGCTGACACGGGCGCGCGCCGGCCGAAGCCTCGGCCGAGGTGGATCACCGAGCGCGTTGCCCTACTACCTCCTCCTCCTCCTCCTCCTCCTCCTCCTCCTCCTCCTCCTCCTCCTCCTCCTAGGTCCTGTTTCAGAGTGCCTACCCGCAAACGTCCGAAGCAGACACGTCTTCAGAGCCCCGAATCATCAGGGGTAACTCGGGTCAGGGATAACTCGGGTTCGTTTTTCGGGAATCCGAACCCGACTTACCCCGGACCCGACTTACCCCGGATAGTTCGGGCGTCCAGAGCCCCGAATTATCAGGGGTAACTCGGGTCAGGGATAACTCGGGTTCGTTTTTCGGGATTCCGAGCCCGACTTACCCCGGACCCGAGTTACCCCGGATAGTTCGGGCGTCCAGAGCCCCGAATCATCAGGGGTAACTCGGGTCAGGGCTAACTCGGGTTCGTTTTTCGGGAATCCGAACCCGACTTACCCCGGACCCGACTTACCCCGGATAACTCGGGCGCCCAGAGCCCCGAATCATCAGGGGTAACTCGGGTCAGGGCTAACTCGGGTTCGTTTTTCGGGAATCCGAACCCGACTTACCCCGGACCCGAGTTACCCCGGATAGTTCGGGCGTCCATAGCCCCGAATCATCAGGGGTAACTCGGGTCAGGGCTACCTCGGGTTCCTTTTTCG